AGTGAAAGGGGCATCATGTTTCTTTGGGTCACACTATCCAACCGTTGGCATCTGTCACATCTTTTACAAAACAAAACACAATCTTTGATAAGAAAGGGCTAGTAAAAACCTGATTGAAGAATTTTGGCCGAAGTCTTTTTCACTAAGAAATGTCCACCGCAAGCTTGTAAATGGCAAAATGTAAGGACGTCTCGTTGTTCATTTTCAGGTACGCATCTCCTCATGATTTGGTCAGAGCAGTATTTGAACAAATACGGGTTGTCGAAGTAGAAGTACTTCACATCTGCCATAAATCCTCTTCGATCTTCTGGGCTCCATTGCGGTGGTATCTATCCTGTTGCAAGATAGTTACACATATCAGCATACCAAGGACATACAGAATGAATTGACAACAAATGCTCGTCAGGGAAAAAGTTAGGGATAGGAATGTGCTCATCGGCCTCTTGCACCACAAGCCGGGATAAATGATCCGCCACCACGTTTCAACTTCTTTCTTGTCCTTGATCGTCAAGTCAAATTCTTGTAGGAGGAGTATCCACCTAATGAGTCTCGATTTTTTATCTTGCTTAGACAACAAATACTTTAAAGCAAAGTGATCAGTAAAGACAACAATAGGCGAACCAATGATGTAAGAACGGAATTTATCTAAGGCAAACACTACTGCTAGCAATTCTTTCTCGGTGGTAGTGTAATTCATCTGAGCCTCATTAAGTGTTTTGCTAGCATAATGTATCACATATGGTCTATTTTCTCCCTCTGACCAAGCACTGCGCCGACCGCATAATCACTCGAGTCGCACATGAGCTCAAAAGGTAGATCCTAATTGGGTGGTCGCATGATCAGAGGTGTGACTAGCATGCTTTTAAGTTTTTAAATGATGCCTTACAATCATCCGACCACTCAAATGGGACCTCCTTAGACAGCAGGTTGGTCAAGGGTTGGGCCATTGCACTGAAATTCTTTATGAATCGACGATAAAAACCTACATGGCCCAAAAACGACCGGATGCCTTTGATGGCTCTTGGCGTGGAGAGGTTGGAGATGGCCTCCACCTTGGATTTATCGACTTCAATACCCCTTGCCGAAACTATATGGCCAAGCACAATTCCTTCCGTCACCATAAAGTGACACTTTTCCCAGTTCAAGACTAGATTCTTCTCCTCACATCTTGTTAGAACTTTCTCCAAGTTTGTCAAACATCCCTCGAATGAATTCCCAAACACCAAAAAGTCATCTATAAAGACCTCCACTATCTTTTTCACCATGTCACTGAAAATTCCCATCATACAGCATTGAAAAGTCCCCGGAGCATTGCACAGTCCAAATGACATACGGCGGTAGGCAAAGGTACCATAGGAGCATGTGAAAGTGGTCTTCTCTTGATCCTCCAAAGCAATCTCAATCTGATTGTAGCCAGAATATCCATCTAAAAAATAGTAGAATAGATGCCCCGCTACTCGTTCTAGAACTTGATCTAGGAATGACAATGGGAAGTGGTCTTTTCTTGTGCAAGTGTTCAGCTTTCGGTAATCAATGCACCATCCGGTGATTACTCTTGTAGGTATAAGCTCATTCTCATCATTCTTAACTACCGTAACTCTGGATTTCTTAGGTACTACTTGCGTAGGGCTAACCCACCTACTATCGGCAATTAGAAAAATAATTCTCACATCAAGTAATTTCAGAACCTTATCCCTCACCACCTCCTTCATAATGGGATTCATCCGCATTTGTGGTTGTTGGGAAGGTTTGGAATCCTCCTCAAGATATATGCGATGGGTGCAAATGAGAGGGCTTATCCCTTTGATATCCGCAATGGTCCACCCAATTGCTCATTTATGTTTTCTCAATACCTCCAAGAGTTCTTTTTTTTGTTTCATGTTCAATGTAGAGCTAATGACCACCAAAAATGTTTCACCTTCCCCAAGATAGGCGTACTTCAAATGGGTGGGCAAGGGCTTCAACTCCAAGTTGGGCTTTTGTTCATCCGACGAAAAAATTTTCTTTTCTCGATGGGGTAACTCTTCGAATGTAGGGATCCACCTTTCCATCCCTTTCAAATCTTCTATCTCCTCTTGCTCATCATAATTCTCAAGATTCATAATTCCTCCTTCCTTGAATTTCAATATCCCCTCCAGCTCCAAGTGCTCCTCAACCAAAGTGTCGATTCTATTGACCTCACTTACTTCCTCATCATCACCCGGTTGCTTTGCCAAGTTGAATACATTGTGCTTCATTGTCATATTCCTAAATGCCAACTTTATTAGATCGTTCCTGTAATTTATCATGACATTAGATGTATCAAGGAAGGGTCTTCCAAGTATTACGGGAATTTGGGGGCTAAGGTTTGCAGTAAGGTGTGTATCAAGCACAATGAAATCGACAGGGAAGTAAAATTTATCAATTTGAACTAAGACATCCTCAACTACTCCCCTTGGTGTACGGATACTACGATCCGCCAATTGAAGCATGATTGAGGTGGGCTTCAACTCCTCAAGCTGCAGCTGTTGGTACACCGAGTAGGGGAGAAGATTAACACTTGCCCCCAAATCGAGGAGTGCTTGTTCCACTCGATAATTTCCAATGGTGATGACTATGGTTGGACAACTGGGATCTTTGAATTTGGGAGGAGTGTTGGTCTTCAATATTGAGCTCACTTGCTCGGTGAGGAATGCTTTCTTGTGGACATTCAGTTTCCTCTTCACCGTGCATAAGTTCTTCAAAATCTTAGCACATGATGAAATTTTCTTGATGGCGTTGAGGAGTGGAATGTCAATTTTCACCTGCTTAAAAATTTTCAAAATATCAGTATAATTAGCCACCTTGACAGGTGGCTTCAAATGACTTGGGAAAGGGGCAGACATGGGAGGAATAAACACACAATCATCAATTAATTTTTCTTTCTCAACAACCTCTCTTTCTTTCTCTTCACTCACCTCACTCTTGTCGGTGTCACCTAAGATATCTTTTTCTTTTGGCAATTTGGTCTTGGGTGAGACCGTTGACAAAATGGTTTTGTCAATTTTTTTGCCACTACGGAGGGTGGTGACAGCTTTGAGTTGCTCGCAACTCTCTCTCAAAGGTTCCGATGACTCAACAAGGTGTTGACCCCTAGGGTTCTCTTGTGGTTGAGCGGGGAACTTTCCCTTTTCTTGTTGAGATGCCCCTATGGAGTTTGTCAACACTGTGAGTTAGGCTCTTACATCATTGATGGCTGTGACATTTTGGTTATTGATGGCGGTTTGGCTTTGAATGAAGGAATGTATCATATCCTCCAAATTCCTTTTGTGAAGAGGTTGGTGTGTGGATGGATTGGATGGTCCTTGAGAAAAACTTTGTGGAGGTGGATTTGGTGAAAAATTTTGTGGTGGTGGGTTTGACAAATACCCTTGTGGATTGGTCCAGGAGTATTGAGAGCTAGATGCTTGCCCTTGGCCATGGTATTGGTTTTGCTTGGGAGGCATGGGAGATGCATATGCACAAAAAGTCATTTTCGTTTGCATATTTCATTACGTGTTCCACTTATCTTACATTGCTTACTTAATCCAATATTGGATTCCTTTTTCGTCTCTTATGTTTTCTTATGTCGATATTAAAGTGCAAAACATGTATTTGCAGAATATTTTCAAAATAAATTGGTGGAGACCATGCAATTCATGGAAATTCTTAATTTGAAGGGCAGTGTCGAGAGGATACATTCTTCTATAAGCTTCCAAATTTAGCAGAGCAGCTTCCTCGCCAAATTGTGCTGAAAAAGGTGCCTACCCAATTATTATTACAGGAGGTTTTACTTTTATTTTGTTGTGCTTTTTAATTCATGTTCATCATCTTATCCTTTGATTTTTGTAGTTACTTCATTTACTGGCTTTGTCCTTAGAATTTGGTTCGGTTGCTGCCCCTGCTTTGACTGCATTGTTGAAAATGGGATCATGGCTTTTGACAGAAGAATTTAGTGTTATGTTCATACTCCTTAGTTTTGTGTTGTGGCTTCTTTGTGGTTATTATTTTAGTGTATTTGGCTTGTAAGATTTCTTGCTTCCATATTGTAGGTATTGCTAACAGTTGTTAAACTTTTTGCCTCCAGCGATCGGGCTATTTGAGTTCGTCTGCTGCAACACATTGATCAATATGTGGAGTCATTGTCAGCATAAATTGTTAACGAGCAAGTATGCAGCCAGTCACAAGATGATTATACTTAAATATGATTCAAGCACATTGATTTTATTGATGTTCTCAGCACAACCTTTTTAATCCATCTTAATCATGATAGATTGGGACAGTGAATATTGCTAGTAATGATTTTGATTAGGTTTACCCTCATGTTGCTACCGGATTCCCAAATACATCTACATTTCTTTGGGAATTGACGCTTAAATTCATGCTTGTTCCGGCTCCTAAGGTACATGCACCTTACTCTTTTGCTTGAAGGACCTTTTCTTCATGGTGTTTGGAATACAAAATTTTAGATGAAGAGAGTACCTATCAAAATTTATGAGAATTATGTATCGTAGTAGGTGAACTAAGAATATGATAGTGGTTACTTCTTGTTAGCATATTACTTTCATTTTGTGATCAGAAATTAATATGTTTTATTGATGATAGGAAAGACCAAGGACATCCTCGGAGTAAAAAAGCTATCACTTTAGCTCTTGTTTGATACTTAAGTGACTATGTTTCCTTATTAATTCATTTGATTGATTAGAAGTCTTGTTTAACCATGTTTAATAAAAAAATTTGTCGTTAGCAAAAAAGTATAAACATAAACACTTGAAACCTATCCTTCTTTCAGATTCGAATTTTAGCCAGATTAGGTGAACGTAAAACTGAAACCATTCAATAACCATCAATTTTTCAGTTTTAATACATATTTAAACCCCCTGATCTCAATTGCTCATGTGCATTAATCTTAATTGGTTTGGAATAAATCCTAATCTGTTAACCACGCGCATCACTTTGTGACCATCAACAGGACTTGCTGAAGGGAAAAGTTTAGAAGAAACATGGTGCATGTGGTGATTTTAGACTTTTGTGTGAAGAGAAGTGACGCATTCCCTGTATCTGTGTGAAGAGGACTGCAAATGTTCAATTACTTGAGAAAGCAAATTTTGTCTTGTTTGCATGCAAATAACTATACGTAAATCCAGCTGATTTCCTAACTAACATGCTATTTGCAGCTGAAATCTAATTTGCTCCTCCACATTGATGGGACCAGCCCTGTTGCTAAAGACATTGGACGTCAGGTGTTCCCTTTTTTCCTAAGTGCAATAGTATCTTTTAAATGCAAAACTTAGCATCAGAGAAATTGTTGCTTCGAGGTGGATTCTGAGCATTTTTGTTTCCTGCTTGTGCTTGACGACTGAGGTTGTTGCGTGCTTGATGTTCCCTTTTGATTGTCTGGGTTGAACTTAAACAATGATTATTTTGGATGGATGAAATTGTCTAACTATTTTCCTCTTTTCTCAACCTGGTGGAGTCTTTGCCAACACTTGGGTTTGGCTAAATTGAGCCCCTTTTCCTTTCTCTGGCGCCAATTGAAGCAATTGACTACTTTTTAGGCCGTTCTTTCAAAGTTATAGTGCAAAAGGTGAGGAAGACCTTACCAAAGAAAATACACATGTCGCTCTGTAGATTACCTATCTAATAAATAAAAGAGGCACAGACCATATGTGGGTTAAAAATGCAAGTGACATGATCACATCTATTGTGGGGTGGGTTTTATTTTTCTAGATTTAACCTTTCTAGTGTATGGATGTTGTAACACCCCAAAACCCACCTTGGACGACATTACACTTTAAAAATTATTCACATTATGAGAGCAATTAAATAAATTCATCATTAAAAAAATATTTTATTCATCAAATATCACATTTACAATATCATCACAAAAGAATAGGCCAGTCATGACCATCATATCCAAAAGAATAGGCCAAACCATGGCCATTACATCCCAAAAGAAACAACTATTTTCTCGCAGCGGAATAAACAAAATACATCTCTTAATGTACCAAAATATATCCCCTAATCTAAACCATGGAGAGATCAACTCTAGACATTCCCCTCGGGATCCACCCTTTCCTCCAATTGGGTTTCCCAAGTCACCTGCTCGTTAATTCTGAACTCTTCCTCTAAACCAACATCTAAGAATGAATAATATTATAGGGGATGAGCACTAAGCTCTGTAGCAACATTCTCCCAAACTCGAACAAGGTTTAGAAAATATATAAAAACAGCCGATCTCATTTCGCAAATATCATACATAACATTTGAAATAAAATAAGAATATTTCAATGGATCTCAAGTTTAAGCAAGAGTAATAATTTAAATGAAAGGAATAAACATGTTCGAGTGATAGAAATCAAACAATCATTCAACAACGTAATCCCACATTCTCATGTATGCTGGTTGTTGCCCATGAATCTACACCATGATTCTATCTCGTTCACCCATCACAATCACACAATCCCAAATATTTTAGGAAGGGCGTATACCGTCTCTCACGATATTAACGAATTCTTCCCAAGAAAGGTATACCATCCCTTAGCCTCGAACTTACGTGAACAATAGTGATTACTCTCACAAACAACAATCTACTACAAGTGTTAGGCAACCATATCACCCCCACTGGGATAGACTAACCTCTAACACTCTACTGCAGTTCTCGAATGCAATTCAAGTCCATCACAACAAACCATACAAGGGATGCAATACCAACCATTTTTCTCAAATCACAAATAAATCCAAAAATTCCCAATTTCATAAGTATTTTTCTAATATAGTATCTCAAGAAAAATAAGCAAGAGATAATTAAAAGATATACTTTTATTGTTCCAAATAAAGCACTACGATTTTTGAATCAACAACAAAAGAATATTAAGAAGGAAAATCCCTCTTTCTCAAAAACTAGGTTTTGACATCAAGAACATAAATTTCTATGGTTATCAAATCAAAAGTTATGCTTTTATTGTTCCAATAATTCACTAGAGTTTTTGAAATCAAGAATAATGAAATATCAAGAAGTAAAATCTATATCTCTTAAGAAACAAGAGTTTTGATGTCAAGAACAATGATTTATGGTTATCAAACCATAACTTCCTCTAATACATGGCAAGGTTTGCAAGAATATCAAGAAACAAGGATTTCAATACATATATATATATATATATATATAATATTAACAGTCAAAACATGTATTTATATAAACTCTAGCATCAATGGACAAGAGTGGAAGAAACTCCTACCTTGGTGTTCTTGAAAAATTAGGGCTTTGATCCAATCCAATGTGCAAATCTCCTTTGATCTTGTATTTTTTCCCTCTCTTTCTTCCTCTCTAAGGTTTCCTAGGGTTAGAAAGGTTGAAATAAGGCTAAAGGAGGCATCATTATGTATTTATAGGATGGAGAAGCGACCCCAGATCGTGACTTAAAATTTTTAAAACTTACAGAGCGTATCGGTACGCAGTACCGATACGGTAAACTCTCTGAACAGTAGCGTACCGGAACGGTAACTTCCTGGCGTACCGGTACGATCTATTCAGTTTTGTCTGTTTTCTTTATTTTTCATTTCCAGTTCATTCCAAACTCATTCAAAACCAACCCAAACTTGTACAATATACATTTGGACATCAAATATAGTTGGTATGAGTTCGATTTCAAACAACTTCATATACTTACCCAATTTTTACACTATTAACATTTTCTACGGTTATAACCTATATGGTTCATACCTATGCCATAACATATATTAAATTACTAAACCATTGATTATTATATTATTATAAACATGTGGGGGTTTACAGATGTATTGGGAAATGTTGCTATTATCTTACTCAAGTTGCTTGCTTTTGTAGCTATTTACATATGGACGAAGAATTGCATTTGTAGAATTATGTGCTAGGATTGATGTTGTGGACGCTAGCACTATCAAACGAGTTGCGAACCGTTTTATATTTGATCACGTATACCTAAAATCTTTCGGGCACACTACTATTCCTGCTAATCTAGGAAACAGAGTCTTCGATATGGGCATCTGCATGCTTATAGGTACGCCAAACCTTTTTTCATATTCTTTGGGGGATCTTTTGAAGGAAATTTTAGTATAATGACTTCCATGTTCTGACTAAGAGCTTCTTGCTCTTCAGTCATCCAGAGTATCGTAGATAAGCCAAAACATTGGACATCCCTCTTTAGCAAGAGCCCACTTGTGGGTTGACTTTCAAGTAGATTGTATGCTAAATTTAATCACAGAAGTTCCAAAGAACTTATGCAGTTCTTAGATTTCATCGCAAATATGCATATATATGAACTCTTTACTCGAGTATTTGTTCTCTAACTTGTGATTGTTATGTTTCTGGTTGTTGCAGGACATCGCAATAGCAACCATGGGACCAATCCAGCGTTTGCCCAACTATAATTGGTTCCGGTGCAGGACCTACTTGCTGCGCTACTCAGATTATTTATCTTTATTTGCTGCCCCCATTTCTGTCAATTTGTTCATTGGAAGGTTTTCTTTTTGTCGAAATCCAGGAAATAAAATGTTTATAGTAATAGGAAATGTGAGAGACTTTAAGGAGGATAAGTTGAAATCCTTCTGTTGTTGATTTGCTCTCATATACAATTTCAATGCCATATGAATAAGCTATGTATTGGGACAAGATTTTATTGAGTTGAGTTCTATGAATAAGCAATGTGATATTCTTTTACAGGTCAATGCATCGGGTATGATGACCATGATGCACACTGACTTTTGTTAGAGCCTGATGANATGCAGTTCTCGAATGCAATTCAAGTCCATCACAACAAACCATACAAGGGATGCAATACCAACCATTTTTCTCAAATCACAAATAAATCCAAAAATTCCCAATTTCATAAGTATTTTTCTAATATAGTATCTCAAGAAAAATAAGCAAGAGATAATTAAAAGATATACTTTTATTGTTCCAAATAAAGCACTACGATTTTTGAATCAACAACAAAAGAATATTAAGAAGGAAAATCCCTCTTTCTCAAAAACTAGGTTTTGACATCAAGAACATAAATTTCTATGGTTATCAAATCAAAAGTTATGCTTTTATTGTTCCAATAATTCACTAGAGTTTTTGAAATCAAGAATAATGAAATATCAAGAAGTAAAATCTATATCTCTTAAGAAACAAGAGTTTTGATGTCAAGAACAATGATTTATGGTTATCAAACCATAACTTCCTCTAATACATGGCAAGGTTTGCAAGAATATCAAGAAACAAGGATTTCAATACATATATATATATATATATATATAATATTAACAGTCAAAACATGTATTTATATAAACTCTAGCATCAATGGACAAGAGTGGAAGAAACTCCTACCTTGGTGTTCTTGAAAAATTAGGGCTTTGATCCAATCCAATGTGCAAATCTCCTTTGATCTTGTATTTTTTCCCTCTCTTTCTTCCTCTCTAAGGTTTCCTAGGGTTAGAAAGGTTGAAATAAGGCTAAAGGAGGCATCATTATGTATTTATAGGATGGAGAAGCGACCCCAGATCGTGACTTAAAATTTTTAAAACTTACAGAGCGTATCGGTACGCAGTACCGATACGGTAAACTCTCTGAACAGTAGCGTACCGGAACGGTAACTTCCTGGCGTACCGGTACGATCTATTCAGTTTTGTCTGTTTTCTTTATTTTTCATTTCCAGTTCATTCCAAACTCATTCAAAACCAACCCAAACTTGTACAATATACATTTGGACATCAAATATAGTTGGTATGAGTTCGATTTCAAACAACTTCATATACTTACCCAATTTTTACACTATTAACATTTTCTACGGTTATAACCTATATGGTTCATACCTATGCCATAACATATATTAAATTACTAAACCATTGATTATTATATTATTATAAACATGTGGGGGTTTACAGATGTATTGGGAAATGTTGCTATTATCTTACTCAAGTTGCTTGCTTTTGTAGCTATTTACATATGGACGAAGAATTGCATTTGTAGAATTATGTGCTAGGATTGATGTTGTGGACGCTAGCACTATCAAACGAGTTGCGAACCGTTTTATATTTGATCACGTATACCTAAAATCTTTCGGGCACACTACTATTCCTGCTAATCTAGGAAACAGAGTCTTCGATATGGGCATCTGCATGCTTATAGGTACGCCAAACCTTTTTTCATATTCTTTGGGGGATCTTTTGAAGGAAATTTTAGTATAATGACTTCCATGTTCTGACTAAGAGCTTCTTGCTCTTCAGTCATCCAGAGTATCGTAGATAAGCCAAAACATTGGACATCCCTCTTTAGCAAGAGCCCACTTGTGGGTTGACTTTCAAGTAGATTGTATGCTAAATTTAATCACAGAAGTTCCAAAGAACTTATGCAGTTCTTAGATTTCATCGCAAATATGCATATATATGAACTCTTTACTCGAGTATTTGTTCTCTAACTTGTGATTGTTATGTTTCTGGTTGTTGCAGGACATCGCAATAGCAACCATGGGACCAATCCAGCGTTTGCCCAACTATAATTGGTTCCGGTGCAGGACCTACTTGCTGCGCTACTCAGATTATTTATCTTTATTTGCTGCCCCCATTTCTGTCAATTTGTTCATTGGAAGGTTTTCTTTTTGTCGAAATCCAGGAAATAAAATGTTTATAGTAATAGGAAATGTGAGAGACTTTAAGGAGGATAAGTTGAAATCCTTCTGTTGTTGATTTGCTCTCATATACAATTTCAATGCCATATGAATAAGCTATGTATTGGGACAAGATTTTATTGAGTTGAGTTCTATGAATAAGCAATGTGATATTCTTTTACAGGTCAATGCATCGGGTATGATGACCATGATGCACACTGACTTTTGTTAGAGCCTGATGAATAATTCTCAGTGAATGTATATGTTTCTCTACATCCCTGGAATGAAATGGTAGTTGGATCGAGTTTCTAACCAATAAAGTTACTACTTTTTTCTCTTTTCGGATTAAGATTGTTTTACCAAACATGCCATTGTAATTCAGTGGATTGAAATTACCTCTCTGAAGCTTAAAATCCCAAACTTCTATTAGTTTGGTATTTTTTTATTCTTCATCTTCTCTCTCCTCTTCATGAAGTGAGGAAGAGTTTGAACAGTTGGCCATGTTTGCAAGAGCCATGAATGCAAGAACATACAAGTGCTTCATAATGACATCCAAAAATTTTGTTGTTACATGTTTTTTGTACAAAAGCAGAGAGAGAGAGAGTTTAGTGTTAGCTTGATCCCAATTTTTTAAATGTGTCAATTTGGTATCTGAATTTTTTAATGTGTTACTTTGGTCCAACAAAAAACGACAATTATAATTTACTAATGGAGGTCGTTGCATGTATATAACGTGATTCCACTTAAGGTGCATTCTTAAAAAATTTTAAGAACTAAAGTGACAAATTATAAATTTAAGGACCAAAATAATATATTGATTAAAAAAAAAAGGACCAAAGTTTCCCTTCACGTGTGGTTGCATAAACATCTTCATCTTCATCTTCATTTGTATTTGGTGTGCTCTAGAAGATAAATACTTACACACTTGTATGCTATACGAAAAAGAGATGATTTTTGTGACTACATGTCATGATTAAGAATGACACCTTTTGTCATGACATTGGTTTGTAATACATTTAAGTTATTATGGAAGGATGTGATATGAGCCTGGCTCCTGACTAGTGGGGCTTCTATCAATTCCTCCGAAGGGAGGACATGCCTGAGCTGGTCACCGAACTCCTACACCCTCCTATTGGATGGGAATATAGGTTCTTTCNCGGGCACACTACTATTCCTGCTAATCTAGGAAACAGAGTCTTCGATATGGGCATCTGCATGCTTATAGGTACGCCAAACCTTTTTTCATATTCTTTGGGGGATCTTTTGAAGGAAATTTTAGTATAATGACTTCCATGTTCTGACTAAGAGCTTCTTGCTCTTCAGTCATCCAGAGTATCGTAGATAAGCCAAAACATTGGACATCCCTCTTTAGCAAGAGCCCACTTGTGGGTTGACTTTCGAGTAGATTGTATGCTAAATTTAATCACAGAAGTTCCAAAGAACTTATGCAGTTCTTAGATTTCATCGCAAATATGCATATATATGAACTCTTTACTCGAGTATTTGTTCTCTAACTTGTGATTGTTATGTTTCTGGTTGTTGCAGGACATCGCAATAGCAACCATGGGACCAATCCAGCGTTTGCCCAACTATAATTGGTTCCGGTGCAGGACCTACTTGCTGCGCTACTCAGATTATTTATCTTTATTTGCTGCCCCCATTTCTGTCAATTTGTTCATTGGAAGGTTTTCTTTTTGTCGAAATCCAGGAAATAAAATGTTTATAGTAATAGGAAATGTGAGAGACTTTAAGGAGGATAAGTTGAAATCCTTCTGTTGTTGATTTGCTCTCATATACAATTTCAATGCCATATGAATAAGCTATGTATTGGGACAAGATTTTATTGAGTTGAGTTCTATGAATAAGCAATGTGATATTCTTTTACAGGTCAATGCATCGGGTATGATGACCATGATGCACACTGACTTTTGTTAGAGCCTGATGAATAATTCTCAGTGAATGTATATGTTTCTCTACATCCCTGGAATGAAATGGTAGTTGGATCGAGTTTCTAACCAATAAAGTTACTACTTTTTTCTCTTTTCGGATTAAGATTGTTTTACCAAACATGCCATTGTAATTCAGTGGATTGAAATTACCTCTCTGAAGCTTAAAATCCCAAACTTCTATTAGTTTGGTATTTTTTTATTCTTCATCTTCTCTCTCCTCTTCATGAAGTGAGGAAGAGTTTGAACAGTTGGCCATGTTTGCAAGAGCCATGAATGCAAGAACATACAAGTGCTTCATAATGACATCCAAAAATTTTGTTGTTACATGTTTTTTGTACAAAAGCAGAGAGAGAGAGAGTTTAGTGTTAGCTTGATCCCAATTTTTTAAATGTGTCAATTTGGTATCTGAATTTTTTAATGTGTTACTTTGGTCCAACAAAAAACGACAATTATAATTTACTAATGGAGGTCGTTGCATGTATATAACGTGATTCCACTTAAGGTGCATTCTTAAAAAATTTTAAGAACTAAAGTGACAAATTATAAATTTAAGGACCAAAATAATATATTGATTAAAAAAAAAAGGACCAAAGTTTCCCTTCACGTGTGGTTGCATAAACATCTTCATCTTCATCTTCATTTGTATTTGGTGTGCTCTAGAAGATAAATACTTACACACTTGTATGCTATACGAAAAAGAGATGATTTTTGTGACTACATGTCATGATTAAGAATGACACCTTTTGTCATGACATTGGTTTGTAATACATTTAAGTTATTATGGAAGGATGTGATATGAGCCTGGCTCCTGACTAGTGGGGCTTCTATCAATTCCTCCGAAGGGAGGACATGCCTGAGCTGGTCACCGAACTCCTACACCCTCCTATTGGATGGGAATATAGGTTCTTTCTTGTTTCAGGAGATGGTTGAGAGTTTGAAGGAGCTGTAGAAGCTGTCCCTTGCGTTCCCCAGTTCTTGGGTCCTCCATCTAACATGAGTGAGTTAAACTACTGCTTTCATTCATTATAGACCTTTTCCTTTTTCCTAATATAAGCTGGCTTTTGCGGTGGAGAGACCTCCGTTGATCCCAATTAGACGTGCCAGAATTAACAAGGTTGTTGAAGGAGGTCCAAGGCCTCTTATGAGTTTAATCACTCCTAAGACTCACATTTTTAGGGCTTGGTCCCCCTCTTTCTGTGGCAGAGGATACCCTTTATGATAATAAGGGTCTGTAGTAGCTTATGAGGATAATGATGAAGGGCCGGTGGCAGAAGCTCTTGTTCTAGTAGATGGAGATGGGAAGAGGGTTCTTCTTTATCAAGGAAGCGGCAGATGGGAGCTAGAACTGACTGAGCTTTGATCATTTCTTCCTTTTTTTCTTTTTCTTTTTTAAAAAAAAAATTTTAAGTCAAGTTTATTTTTTGAATTAAATGAAAACTCTTTTGTCTATCTCCCCATTATTCTCCCTCTCTTCCCTTGCCTCTTGACTTTTGAAAGGATGATAGCCTTGTAGAATTCATTGTTTCTTTTTTTTGGGTTAGCTAAAGGTTGTCACATCTTTCTAAACAAGGAGATGGAGAGCTCTACCCAAATTAGACAACGAGTTGAAAAGCTCTTATTTGGCTTCTGTTGAGTCAAGTGGACTCAATCCAAGCTAACTGAGGAGCTAGAAAGCTCTTGTTTTGCTTATATTGAGTCAAACAAACTCAATTCGGGCTAAGCAAGGAGCTAGAAAGCTCTTATTTTACTTATGTTAAGTCAAGTAAACTCAATCCAAGCTAAGTAAGGAGCTAGAAAGCTTTTATTTTTCCTCTATTAAGTTAAGTGGACTCAATCTGAGCTAAGTGAAGAGCTAGAAAGCTCTTATTTTACTTATGCTAAGTCAAAAAGACTTAATCCAAGCTAAGCAAGGAGTTAGAAAGCCCTTATTTTGCTTTTGTTGAGTCAAGTAGACTCAATACGAGCTAAGTAAAGAGCTGGAAAGCTCTTCTTTTGCTTCTGTTGAGTCAAGTGGACTCAATCCGAGCTAAGTGAAGAGATTGGAAGCTCTAACTTTGCTAATATTGGTGCTTGAAAAATATGGTTTTTTATTAAAAAAGGAGAACTGCGAAATACATACTTTTATTCAAACTTGCTACATGGAAACTCAAAGAACCATTGAAAAAATATCAGAAAGTAATTACTGATAGAACTTTTTTAGTTGTTCAGCATTCCATGGGTGTGGCAACTTGGTTCCTCCTAGAGTCTCCAAATGGTAAGTTCCTAGTCTGAGGATTTTTACAACTCAATAGGGTCCTTCCTACGTTACCCCCAGCTTCCCTTCTCCTAAATTTTTGGTTGATTAAAAGGATTAAAAACGTTAGATCTGACCGTGGTGGTGAATACTATGGTAAGTATGACGGTTCAGGTGAACAACGTCCAGGACCATTTGCTAAATTCCTAGAGGAGTGCGGTATCGTCCCATAGTACACCATGTCAGGTTCTCCAAGCATGAATGATGTTGCTGAAAGGCGAAACAGAACTCTCAAAGACATGGTAAGGAGTACGATTAGTCATTCTAACTTGCCAGAATCACTCTAGGGTGAAGCATTAAAGACTGCAGCGTATATCCTTAACAGAGTACCAACTAAAGCAACTACTAAAACCCCTTATGAACTTTGGATAGGCAAAAAGTCTAGTCTGAAGCACTTACACATTTAGGGATGTCTAGCTGAAGCAAGGCCTTACATGCCACATGAAAAGAAAGTAGATTCAAGAACGGTTAGTTGCTATTTTATTGGATACTCTGAAAGATCCAGGGGTTACAAATTCTATGATCCTACTACTAGATCAATTTTTGAGACGGGAAACGCCCGGTTCTTTGGGGATGTTGAGTTTGATGGGGAAGATAAGAATAGAGATTTTGTTTTTAAAGAGGAATATGTTGATATTCCCATAACTGTT